CTGTGTTGTCGAAATGTCATGTTGTCTCATTTTTTAAAAGAAGTTAAATGACCTGGTAGCACATGGTAACATGGTAGCACCTACAGTTCTTCAAAAATAATTCATAACTGCCTTCCTCCTATGTTGTTGTCGAAATGTCATGTCGTCAACATGACAACATGGTAGCACCTTCAGTTCTTCAAAAATAATTCATTATTGCCTTCCTCTCGTGTTGTTGTCAAAATGTCATGTTGTCACCATTTTTAAAAGAAATTAATTGACATGGTAGCACCCGGTAACATGGTAGCACCTTCAGTTCTTCAAAAATAATTCATTATTGCCTTCCTCTCGTGTTGTTGTCAAAATGGTAGCACCCGGTAACATGGTAGTAGTGAAATTAAATTTTGTTATCAGTTATTTTGTCATCATTTTATTAAGTTCATCTTTAGTTAATAATTTGAATGGATTCGCTAATGTTCCACCTTGAGTCACAACACTTGCCCCAGCTAATTGTGAAGAACCTGGGATAAGTACTCCACGAAATGATTTCATTGGTATCATTAATTTAGAAATAGTTGGCTTAATTAATTTTGTCATTTATGATAAAAATAAAAATTTAAATTATGCCGTTCGCTCTTTTGGAGCTCAGGACTTTCAGTCCGTTCTAAAGTTTGTTTCACAAACATTGAGCGTTCAATGAACTCTATACCATGCGTAAACCGTCATGTAAGGTGGCATGTATTCTTTACTTTGTCCCGTTGTTTGTGTATATCCTGAAACGAAATGTGTATGATTTCCTTCTCCCTGAGTGTCACTCCAGTAACAATTTATAGCAAACTTAACATCATCTTTAACATCATATCCTTTACCTTTTGTCATTCCCGACCAATCCCAATATCTATGCTTATGCCATCCTGCTTGAGATGTACTTAAATCAATGTAGTGACTGTGTGCAGGTAAATTTTCACCTGAAATCGTTTTACTTCCACCTGTTTCCTTTGAAGAGTTTGCACAATACAAAAACCTGTCAACTATTTGTTCCCATGCACCAACACCAAACATTACTTGAGGACCTCTTGCATCCATAGATGTATAAATAGAACCTACTGGGTTCATTAAATCAAACATATGAGATATTATAGGATTGTCTCTTTTGAACTTAAAATATAGTGTAACTATTTCAGGTTTCTTCTGGTTTGTGTCAGAATATTTTTTATAATATAATCTTATGTTTTCAGGGTAGGTAAAATCTTGACTATAATATTTTTTCTGTCATCTGTATAATAATATACTATTCTCGTTTTTTCTATTGCATTATATCTTTTATATCTATAATAATCTAAATATAATGTTAGTTTTGTTCATCTACATGTGGTGTTCTGTCGTCATCTCCATAGTCATAATAATATGGTGCTGGAGCTGGGTCAGACAATGTCATATCTGCCATTTCATAAACTCTTAAATATTTCTTTTGTTCGTCTCCATATAAGTTTAAGTAGCAGTTGTTGTCTAATGGAACTTTAACTTGTGTACCATTATTCTTTATATAGCCTACATACATTTCATTGTTATTTTTCGGAATGAGTTTATACCGTATACCATTTTTTAAGGAGTGTACAAACTCCCATCTAAAATATTTATTTTCTTCATTGACAGAAACATCCCCAACAATAGTTTCAATATTTTTTGTTCCTATCAAACTTTGGTATATTTCGTTAACATATGTTTTATCCGCCTTCTTCTCTAACTCATCGTTAACATATGTTTTATCCGCTTTAAGGTCTAAACATCCCGAAACCCATGCTGTATCAGCTTTAACTTTAAAAGTCTCAAATGTCCATTCATGATACCATTCAACCTTTTCTTTAATTTCATTATCTTTTTCATCAACATAAACCAAATTTGCCTTCTTCTCTAACTCATCGTTAACATATGTTTTATCCGCTTTAAGGTCTAAACATCCTGAAACCCATCCTGTATCGGCTTTAGTTTTTAAAATCTTTGATGTCCATTCATGATACCATTCAACCCTTTCTTTAATTTCATTATCTTTTTCATCAACATAAACCAAATTTGCCTTCTTCTCTAACTCACTATCCACATATTCCTTATCCGCCCTCTTCATTATGTCATTTAGGAAACCTTTTATGAATTCCTCATTTAAATTAAATCTTCCAATCTTCAAAACTTTAGGAAATGCATTTAATGCGTAATATCTCTGTTCTTCTGGTGGAATTGATGTTATATCATCCGTTATACCTTTAATTTTTGAATTCATAAATAAAATTTCTTTTATATTTGATATCACTGCACCACCTTTGCAAACGAATTCAAAATGGTCATTTTTCAATACTATAGGGTGTCCAAAGGTGTGTTTAGCACAAACCTGAATACTGCGAATAGAAATAAACAAGTTACATATATATAAAGTTTATTTAAATATAATCACCATTGGATTCAATCACGCGTTCGCAGCGATCGATCCAGGCTTGAAAGACACGCTTTAAATCATCATGAGAAAATTGCTCAAATTGCTCTCTTACAAAATTTTCAAGATCATCTGGACTCGCGAATTCGCGTCCTTCAGCTCTCTTTTTTAGCGTGCCGAATAAATAAAAGTCAGAGGGTGCAATATCAGGTGAATAAATTGGGTTTGGAACAACTTTGACATTGTTTTCCACCAAGTAATTCATTACCTTATGACTTTTGTGAACTCTTGAATTATCAAAATGAATTGCAAACTTTTGTTTTTGTTGTTTGGATTTCTCAAACTCATCAGAATTGATAATTTGAGTAAGAACATTGTCAATTAGATACTGAGCATTCATCGTATTAGGTTTTTGAAGAATATCAATTGCGATGATGCCATTCACGCCCCCAAAAACCAACAACATCATCATTGGTGTGTCAATTTTTTTCTTCGGGAATGTTTGCGGATTTTCATCCTTCGGGATCCACATGATTTTGGCTTCTGTTGCATATTGAAACCAAGACTCGTCCCCTGTTACTAAAAAGCGAAACTTCTTGGATTGATACGCACCCAATATAGAGAGGAGCTCTTTCGAAGATTGGACTCTAGATTTTTTTTGAACTGAATTAAGGTTGTGCGGAACCCAACGTGTATACGCTAGTTTGTAGTTCAAATAATTGTGCAGATAATAACTGACTGTTGTACGTGGTATCTTTGTCATCTCCTCTATCCTTCTGAGTGATGCTCTTGGGTCTTCATCTAGCGCTTGAAGAATTGCTTTGATTTTTCTTTGATCCGGCGATTTTTTGTCAATTTTTATGATGGGCGCCTTTTTGTTCATGAAGTGATACATCCTAACATGATACGTTACAGTGGAATAGCTAGGAGCATCCATACCGAAGCATTTTACCAATGTCTCGTAGATTTTTTTACAGTCTTTGCATTTTTTTGCAAGAGCGAGGATGTTTTCTTTATGATTCATTAAAAAAATGAAAAAAATCCCGCCAAAAATTTCCCGCGAAACCGCCTCTTGTCTCAAAATTCATTTTATATCCCGGCATGGCGCCAAAATACAACATACTCATCATATACATATATTCATATTTTTTATTATATATTTATAATCAGCATATATCTCCTTTAATAGTCTCATATAGAGCGCTGTGCTAAACGCACCTTTGGACACCCTATATCTCCAAATCTCCATATTTCAACCTTTGCGTTTATTCTGTCGTCTTTGAATTATATGCATATGTGGCGTATGTAATGGTCTGAAGGACCTGGGTGTTTTGCGCCTTAAGTTGCTGTTGTTTAATCATTTTATTACGATTTAAAAATAAATATTTAATCCGTTATCTCATCAGCTATTTTTTCAATTTGAAATTGCCATAATATTTCATTCATGAATTCTAAATCACAATCAAATAGGTCAGTTATTCTAAATTTAATATTTGATAAATCTTTTGAATGAAGGATAAATGAATTCCCGGATAATTGAAACGGATAAGATAAAGAAAATGTGTTTAAGTTGATGGATAAAATGTTTTGTATTGATGGGTAAGAGTTAGGGTCAAATGTTTGGTGTGAAAATCTCATTGGGGTATTAACTTTATCACATTTGATTAAAATGAAATTGGAACCAGTGTCAGAATACAAAACATCCCCAACATCTTTTTCAAAATTTAATATCCCCAACAATGAACGAAGACGAGGAGTACAAAATTTAATTTTCAGCGGAAATTTAATAAGGTTATTTATTTCATCAAGTTCAAAAAGTTTATCAGGTTTTGATTTAAAATTTTCTTCATACCATACGATAAATGATTCATTTAAATAACTTAAAATTGTGTTAATATCCCATTTCACTATCACATTATTTATATACATATCATACGTTTTTTCATGGTCATCTTTAATAAATGATATATAATCTGAAGGGTCTAAAAGAATGGGATTAAATTTACCACTCACAGAAACGAGAGTAACATTATAAATTCCGCTAACTGTTAAATTTAATTCACAGTTATTATTCGAAATAATATTGATAATTGACATTTTTTATTACGATTAAAAATATGGTAAAGCGTTATTTTCCAGTGATAAATAAAACTAGAATAAGATTACCTCAAGAATTCATAAATTCAACGAATAAGAAGTTTATTCATGTTATAAATTTTAGTGTTTTCAGAAAATATGAGTCGATGTCATATTCATCAACAGGTTATATTTCACTTCATTCAAATTTAGTTCAATCAAACCCATATAATGACCATTTCATAAGATTTTCAGATGGTATTAAAAATGTAATTGATAGATTAAAATATGAACAGATTGACAATATCGAATTTTTGGAATTTTGGTTTAAATATCCCGATGGAAAAAAGATTGAAGTTAAAGATAAAGCAGATACTATAACAAAAACAATTACAATGACTGATCCGGATAGTGGGGAACAAAAAGAAATAAAACAAACGATAGAAACTGGTGAAAGGTCAATTATTATTGATTATGATTCAAAGGATTATTATTCGATAATGTTAATGCTTGAATATTAAATAGCCTTAACAAAGAATTTTTCAAGTGATATTTTATATTCATCAACTATTTTATTATAAATATCATTATATGTTAAATGAAGTTCAGTTGTTGTTCCGTTCTTTGATATCTTAATTGTGCTAATATCCTTTATAGGATTTATTTTTGCAACTGTTCCGCAGCATGAAACCTCATCATCTATGAAATATTGAATCTTCACGTCTGAATCTTGAACATCACAAAGAATGGCGATAATGTGAATTAATGATTCATAAGGTAAAATAATTAAACCGGATTGGTCAATTAAATTTATTATTGAATCATAATTATCAGTTATGATATCACGGTAAATTTTCATTAATTCAGAATTAATGTCTATTTTATATGGGTTATCAAGTGGTGCTGGGTATGTTGGATAAGTGGGAATTTCAACAGGTTCTTTACCGGGTTCAGATAAAATGATTGGGTCTCCATCTTCTTTATTTTGCTCCTCCTCTTTCTTTGGTAAGTCACGAGTTAATAAATTTGGTTGAGTTGCTGACCTTGTTAATTCAGGACTAACATTAACTTTAACATTTTGAATAATTCGTGATTTATCATCATTTACGTTATAACCAACCGTAATCTCTGCTTTTGCGTTTGTGTTCTTTTGACTTGTGAAACGTCTTCTCATTTATAATTGAATAAAAAAAAGAAAAATATATTTAAAGTTTTATTTAGTTGTTACGGTAATATCCCAAGGTTTATCCTTGTTTGCTTATACTTTCTTTGTAACTGCACCAATTATGTTATTGATAATGATTTGAGTTTCTTCCAGTCTTATTTTATCATTTACAATATCTTTAATCATTTCATTACATGCATTCTTAAAATCATCTGATTTTTCTAATTTACGTCTATCACTTTCTTTAATTAAATCAAAGTTATATCCTTGTTGAGAATAAAGTGGTTTCTTTATCAATTCCTTGAACGCTTCAGAAAGTGAAGATGAAGAAATTCTTGCCACTTGAATTGGTTTAAATTTTGCTTTCATTGCTTCTTTCTGTTCATTGAACACTGGATCGAATAAAGCAACTTTAAAGAATTTCTTAGCTGGAATTTCAGGTCTCAAATTTGCATATTGACCATCAAACTGATTAACATATTGAGGTAATCCGTTTGGTCCTTCTTCAATAGCGTTTAATTCTTCATTGAAATAAGAATATGGATTATGACGGTATGAATTAATTGGACCATTTTCACCTTCTCCAATGTATTGTTTAACAGCTTTTCCATTTTCATCAAATTGCATAGGATAACGTTCATTATATGCTTTACGTTTAGGATAATCAGTTATAGTTAATTTATACCCATTTATGACTTTAATATTTCCTTGGCCATCAGTAACGAAAACTTCATTTATTCCATCAGGCTTTCCATTTGGTCCTGTAATGTCTGCTTCATGTGCTTCCCAATTTGGTCCATGACGTTTGGCATATGCTTGAGCTTCTGGTAATGTTAAAACGTTTCTCATTTGTTTAACATCCTTTTGAAGACCGGCAACAATGTGGACTAATTCTTTCATTCCGTCTGGAACTTTAATAGTTCTATTATATGCACCTTTTTGTTTGTTCCTTGTTTTAATGGAACCTGTAGAAGATTTGCAATTTCTGTCATGTTTAATTATAAATAAAAAATAAAAATTAATTATAAAAAAGTTATTCGAATTTAATGGAACCTTTATTTAAATCAACTATTATTTTTCCATGTTCTCCTAATTGTTGATATTGTGTGTAAAGTTCATTAATGCTCATTGGTAAATTCACTTGATAAAGCATAACGTTCAACTGTTGACGACTAAACCCACTGAAAATGAAAAGGGTGGACAGGTTTGATTTAATGTTTGTGCTTAATGCTTTAAAGTATTGAACAGCCATAAAGAATGAACACTGAATGTGTCGACATTGAGTTAATAATTGATTAAAATATGATTTCTCATTAGTTATTAGTTTTGATTTCACGGCATCATCTAGAAAAATTAGTGAATGCAAAAATTCTTTATCAAAATTTGAAATAGAAAGTGTTTCAAATAATTCATCCCTTTGTTTATCAATAATTTTATCCTCTAATCCTTGCTTCTTGATTGTATTATATAACTCTTTATACATTAAAAAGTTTTTCAAATAATCTTCCGCTTCTTCTTGTGATAAATAAATAATTGGAATTTTTATTAAATGCTTTAATGATTCAAATGTATCATCAGAAGGTGAACCAGAACGGTTGATATAAATTAACACATGAGAATAAGGTGAAGTGTTAGCAATAATGATAATTTGTTTTAATATCGTTAATGTTTTACCTTTATTTTGTTTACCAATTGCTGCAGTGATTGAATTTAAGTAACATTCAGAATATGGAATTTTCATTAATTTTTCCTTAGATAGAGCATTTTTATTATCACTCAATGCTTCATTAATCATATCATCTATGTATGTATTATATATTCCTGTTAATTCTTCAGAATTGAAATCCATTTAATCAAAAATAAATTTATAATTTTAAACATTTCTATTCATCAATATTTCATCATATGAACTTCTATACTGTGGTGGTGTACCTGTTGAATGATATTTCAAACCTTCATCCGGTGTCCATGTCCAATATGTAGTCCTAGTAAACCAAACCTGAGGAGGATTTGTCACCTTTGAACAGTAAGTGTCATTTTCACCCTGAATGATTGGATAAGCTTTCACTTGTACTGTAACTTGTGAGTTAAACGTTTCTAATCCATCAAAGAATATACCCGCTCCATCACGTTGAACTGGAATAGTGCATAAGAATGAAGTTTGGTCTTTCCATGTTCTAGCTAATGGCGTACCATTATCATCATTTAGTGGTCTAGTTAATGAGTCCTCGTATTCTTCTGTGCATTCATTCACTCCATCTAAATCAGAAGCTTGAAGCATACGTGTAAAGAATATGTCACCCACTGTGGTCATCGCTTGATCGGGGAAGTTTCTGGAATCTATTGTGACTTGAAGACCTCGAAGCATTGGATTTTCTAAAACCGTTCTTTGCATTGCATTCTTCGGAAATGTTAACACAACATCTGTAACATTATGAAGAGCGTATGAGAAATCAGAGCTGATACCTTCAGGAGTGATGCAACCTCCATTTAGTGAACGAACGTCAATATGTTGAGCTGGAATCATGAATGGATCTTCCTTACTGAATAAACGTGGTATTGCTTTAACTGATTCTTCAATTAAACCGTATCCTGGTGTAATGCATTTATCCTCTAAAACTTCCATCTTTGTGCATGAAATAATAACGTCATCAACTGTTGCGTCAGCAGATGTAGCGGCTAAGCTTGTAATTAATTTGGCAGGAAGTCCGATTTGTTGGAATTTGCGATCATATTTATAAACATGATTCATAATCTTTTCATAATTTTCATCAGTTATCTTTTCATAAACATAATTTTGTAAATCAGCAACTCTTAACGGGTCAACCTGGCAAAATACTAAAGTATCCCTGAAAACATAATATTTAAGAATGATATCACCAAATGATTTAGGATAATCATCGAACGCCTGAAATGCTAACAAATCGTTTACTGGAATAATCATATCAAAAGTGACATCAACTTCTTCATTTGCTCTCTTGAAAACTTCTGAAGGGTCAATATATTTACCACATACTGAGTTATCATATTTTTGAACATTGTTATATAATGAATGAACAAACTTTTTAACTTTCCTTTCTGATTTTGGTTTATATGTTGCAAATGCGAAAGATTCACGGGCGCAATCCATCTGAAGATAACCGGCATCACCTCTTTCGGTTTCTACTTCTAATTGCTTAAAGTTTTGATTTGATGATTTGTAACCAACGAATAAACGCATGCATTTAAAAGCGGCATCACATGTGAAAGCTTTATTTGAAACTAGAGTTGCTTTAACTTTACGTTTAATATATGTGTCACCTAATTGGTTCACATCATGAGCCGGATTTGTAATTCTTAAATGAGTTTGTTTATCATCAAAATATGGAGCATCAGAGTCATAGCATGAACTTTCAAGTTCTCTATAATATCTTCTACCGTCATTCTTTGCGAATATTTCATTTATCTTTTCGAATGAATGAAACACATTTCCATTAATCGGTTTAGTGTTTGGCACTAAATAGTTAGTCGTCATTTATGATGAAATAAAAAAATCAAAATTAAAAGATGAAAATGAATTTTTAATTTTAATGAAATAATCAACTATGGCTGCAGGATTCTTTAAAAAGTTATGGGATAAAGTAAAAAGAGGAGCGCATAAAGTTTGGGAAACAATGAAGAAAGGAGCAAATTGGATATTTAAGAATAAAGAAGCAATTAGTGACGTTGCAGAACAAATAGCACCTAATGTTCCGGTAAGGGAAGTATTAAATAAAGGAGATAAAGTTTATCGTCGACTACAACCGATATTGAGATAAAAATAATATTTATTTATTTTTCCTATGGCATTCCAAACGGGAACCGCGGTTGGTTACCATGGATTTCCGTCACCGGTCACATTTTAAAGATTTTTAAAGCCTTATAAAAATATGCTTTGTAAATCATTTTTTGTAAATCGGCAAAAATTTGGTAATTTTCTTCAACTAATAAATCTGCGAATAGCATTTATAATACAAGAACAATCTTTTAAAATGCGTTTGATTCATTTTTGTATAATTTCATATAGGCACATATATTCTTCCGGGACTTTCCGTGATTTTACCGTAAAATCATTAGTTTACACCAATTTTTCCGTATTTTGAATAGTTTACTGCACTTTTTCCGTAAAATTGAGTTACGGGAATCCGCAAAATTTCCGGACCTCATTTTTCATAGAATATAATAATAATATTTGATAAAAAGATATATTATTTATATTTTTGATTTTTGAATTACGGAAAAAGTGAATTGTTAACTTGATTTTTTTATATGGTTAATTTTTCAAATGATATTATGAAGATCTAAAATATTAAAAGTAAAAAATTGAATTACGGAAAAAGTGAGGTCAAAAGTGAAATAAATTTGCAGAACAATTTTCATTGAAATAAGACATTGAGTATCACACTTTAGTGAATCAACATCTATAAGAATGAAGTGTTTTGAAGCTGAAATAATATTGAATAGAAATTAATTTTTTCTGAAATTTTGAATGAAATTATGGGAAATAAAAAAATTACTAAATATTGTATTCATACAAATATATTATTTTAAAGGAAAAAATAGATGCTGATAGAAACGATGAAAAATTTTGAAAACTTTACAATTAATTTATGTTCGTTAACCACAGAGCTTGCAATCCAAAGCTCACGTTAGACTACAAGAGTCATGAAGTCTCATACTAAGGGATATCCAACATATATTTTAATAATAATGTTTGTGACAAATATTCAACATAAAATTAAGTTTTCGTTTCGTTACAAGGCATTCATACTTTGGAGATATCATATTTAATGTACAGAAAAGTTAATATTAAACAATACATGCTAAAGAATTAATAAATAAGATAATAAAATAAATTTATACGTAATTACTTTCATTTAATATGCTTTATGCTGTATAATATTGATTAAGAGGCATTAAAAGGTTCCATAGTCTGCTTTTATAGGCAAGATTTTTGATAAAAATTTAAAATTTTGAAAAATGATGAGAAAAGGAAAAAAAAGGTAAATGAGAGCAAGAGGAGGGAAAAAAAAGAAAAAGAAAAGAAAGGGAAGGGAAAAATAAAAGAAAGAAGGACATATAAAAATTTAGATGCGCATTCTTAATGCCGAGGCGGCTTGCCGCCGAGGCGCGATTTTTTTAGGCCTCTACGGTAACCCGGCAATGTTTTTTTAAATCTTGTACAGCCCTAATTTTTCCACTACTTTCCTCCTATTTTATTAAGTATTCCTTCAGCTATTCCACCAACTGCGTTACCTGCTTGTGCTCCCATCGCTGGATTACCTGCTTTAGCACCTAATACTCCACCTATGATAGTTCCTGCCGTTTTCGCTACTGGTGCCAAAAAGTTTGCAATGGGTTTTATTACTTTCTGATGAACCCAACTTGCTGCTTTCTTAATTCCTTCCCATAATTTTTTAAAGAATCCTGCCGCCATTTCTGATTTAATATTAATTAAAAAATATATTTCATCACTTATATTCTAATTTTTAATTAATCATAAATGAAACCAATTTTAAAAATAAATGAAACACAGGAGGAGGAAATAAATGAAAATGATGATGTTCCACAAAAAATAAACGTTATTAAACCCATTACTGAAACAAAAACATTTTCATCTGTTGAAGAATTTAATGACTATTATGCTAATAATAAAAAATTATTTGAAGAATTGACAACATGTAAATTGAATAAAATGTTTAAAGTTGATGGTTTCAAAATTTCAAAAATAAAAGGTGTTGTTAGTTTGAAATCTATTCCTCAATCAAGAATCACCTCATTAATGAAAATAGATGATTTAACAAAAAGAATAGAAGAGATTGAAGAAAGAATGAATCAAATAATTGATATCATAAATCATGACTCGTTGAGCCCGGGTCCATAAAGCCCAGGACTTAAAGCCCAAGGTACAAAGTGCCCAGGACTTAAAGTCCATCACTGAGTTCAAGGTTATATTCATCAAATATTTCATTATTAAATGCAACTTCTGCTAGTTTATTTATTTTTTCAATACGATCATTTGAAAGTCTATCGTTTAATTTTTTCTGAAGTTTTTCATTTTCTAGTTCTGAAACTTTATTTGGATGATATGTAAATTCATGAAATTCTTTGGCCTCGGTTTTGATCATTAATTTACAAAGAACTTTTGTGGTTGGAATTCGTTTGAACCATTTATCCTTAATATTTGTTATAAATTCAATATCTGGAATTAATTCCCAAATTTTTGCATTTTCAATTAATTTATTATCAAATGCAAAAGCAATGGGTTTAATATTATGTTTACCTTTATAATATAAACTTTCTACATAATCATCGAAATAAACATCTACTTGTTTAACATTTTCAAGAATTGGTGAAAGAGCATCCATTAATTGATTGACGGTTACGAATCTTGATCCACTCATTTTCTTACGAATTAAAAAAATAAATTATTCAAAAATGTCAGAAGAAAATATTTAAATAAATTATTTAAATTTTTTTTACTCTATTCAAGAATTTTATTTTTGATATAACTCATTGAATTCAAAATTTTTTAAAAAATTGACACCATATATAACCAGTAGAAATTCTGCCAGTAGAAGTTCTACCAGTAGAAACTTTACTAGTAGAAGTTCTGCTAGTATAAACTCTACCAGTAGAAGTTCTGCCAGTAGAAGTTCTGCCAGTATAAACTCTACCAGTAGAAGTTCTGCCAGTATAAACTCTACCAGTAGAAGTTCTGCTAAAGTATTCAATTTTGAGGGAAACAGTAGAAGTTCTGCCAGTATAAACTCTACCAGTAGAAGTTCTGCCAGTAGAAGTTCTGCCAGTATAAACTCTACCAGTAGAAGTTCTGCCAGTATAAACTCTACCAGTAGAAGTTCTACTAAAGTATTCATAAACACCTTTTTATATCTTATTTACATCTAACATGCACCAATTTATTTTATAACTTTATTAATACTAAATTTTATTTCATACAAAAAGTAAAAATTCATAAGTTATATATTAATTTAATAAATTATATTATCATTTATAATAAAATTTTTCGAAATGCAGATAAATTTTAACATGTTCGAAATGAAACTATTATAAAATATATTCTTTTTATTAATGGTAATATAGGAATTGTAGGAATAAAAACTTTTTATAAATTATTCATAAATTTTTAAAATCGGTTTCATACAAAATAAAAATAAATTATTCAAAAATGTAAGACATGAATGTTTAAAGTTTATTTTTTTTATTTCATTATGGTAGTGAATCTTTCATTCATGAAAATAATTATATCTAATTTCTTTTACTCTCTCGTATATACTAGATTTAAAGAATTCAGATTTTTCCCCATAATCTCCTAAATGTTTTCTAATCTTATCGGTTTTCCATTCATAATATGAAACTGTATAACATTTATTCCTAAATTCATATTTTATTATAGATTTAGTATTTTCAAACTCTTCAATATTTAAAACTTTACATCCTTCTTTATTAAATATATGTTTCACATATTCAGGATTTATCATTCTGTAATATTGTTTTCCTTTAAATCTTTGAATGTAAACAGGAACACCATCCTCTAAAATTCTATTATCCACTTTATCAGGTTTTACTTGTTGGGTCATTTATGTAAGAATAAAAAAATAAATTATTTTAAAATTAATGTTATTTTTTAATGTGTTTAGTATATGAAAAATTTAATGTATCGTCTATATATAGATGCAGCAAAAAAAGTCACAAACCCCGCATGATTCTACTACTGGTCATAAATATGAAAACTTATTTTTGACTAAATATATTAATTATACCTTATTTTATTAATTTTTGTCTTCGATAAGTCAAAATATGAAACTGTAAAAATCATTTCAAAACCGGAAAAAATCTCTCAAAAATATAATCAAAACTGTATTTCGATTTGACCAAAATGCTATATTTGTATCGCTTATGAAAATTAATTCAACAAGATTTTATTTTGGGTTAATTGGCGATAAAAAATGAAAAGTCTGGATTATTATTCAGTTTAACCTAGCAAATCTGAATTTGCAAAAATCTTACATTTTTGTTTAGGTTTAACGATTATATATTTTAATAATCATATCTAAAGCCTATTTTATTAATGTTATTCATATGTGTATTAAATAAATTTAATTTAATATGTCAATCTGTTGTTTTAATTATTTTTTTGGTATTTTCTTCAAGATTTTAATCGAAAGATTTGAATCAAAGCTAAGTTATCAATTACTCAGATTACATATTTCAAATATAATCTCAGCTCAGCTCCCATATGTAATAACTATTCAAAACATGGAATAATTTTCAAATCAACAAAGTTTGAAAGGGGAAAATAGTCGAATTTAACAAAATATTTTATTACTTTTGTTCGAGATTTAAAGTTTCTTAAAGCAAATCTTTAGTAAATTTCGAGACTAAATTATCGAACTGTTTTTATCTGAATATTCAAGTGGAAAAGCCAACAAAATCATCCTTGCATTGATAATTACTTTCTATGTTAGTGTTAATTCATAATGAATTACTCCAAGATTAATTTTCATTTATTCTTTATACGAAATTTCTATGAACTCACCTTGCTACAGGATAAGTCAAGTCTGTGTTAATGTTTTTCCTTTAAATCATTTCCATTAATGAATGCAAATGTCGGGAAAGTGAGTATGCAAAAACTTTTTTTATAAAACTTTTTACATTTTATTATGAGAATCCGATATCTCTTCCTAACATTTGATGTTTTACCTCAAAACATCAAAAAATCATATGCAGTTCATTTCACTTGATTATTGTTTGCCGTTTTACATCAAAATTCCCTTATCATCACAACTATATTACAGATTCCAAACACAAATTCCTAGAAAACTTACTTTAAATGCAAGTTAATTTTCTATATCTTAAGGTTAGTCCTTTCCAATCCATAAAGATCGATTTTTCAAGAAATTGAAAGTATTTTTATACTTCCGCTTTCAAAAGGAAATGTATATTAAGACTTGTACAAGTCACATATATTTATCATCCTTTTCTACCTTAATACCGATGTCTGAGGTGTCAACCTCAATGAATGGAAACTTCTCATTAAAATTGTAAAATTGGATTCTCATTGCGACCCACTCACTTGTCAAAGGTAATTTCAAAGATATAATACGCTGACTTTAATTACCTTTGGCCATTGCTCAAAAATTCTGGTTTAATTTTTCAACCGAAAGATTATAATTTGATGAATAAAAATATTACCATAACATTTGCAATACCTATTACTATTAACGGCTAAATTCTTGAACAATTTTTTTATATCAATTGAATTAAGATTTTAAATGGTTTCAGACTCCATTTGTTAGATATAAATGACTACAATGAAGTAAATCTTATGCACCTATTGCATAAATATGATAATATTACTTAATATTAATGTATTGTACATTAATTAGATAAATTTCGTCAAATAAACACTTTTATTTAATTATAATTATAAAATAAAGCTATTTTGCCGATTTAAAATTTAGAGTTCTCTATTGCTTTTTCAATTTTTAACTGTTAATTTTATTTGATTTCCAAAAAAAAATCCATTTTTCAAAAAACCATTTCAAGATTCTTCATTTTTATTTACGAAATTTGAAAATCATGAAAATTTTGGAAAATCACAAACAATTTGGGCAGCTTTTGTAGTGTATCAGCAACAGTATTCTGTCCAATAAAACTCGAAATTGAAATATCTTCATTCAAATTTTCTTCTAATGAAAGAGAAAGATATCCACCATTTCAGAATATCTCACGAGAAAGGAATGAAAGCTAAGCCAGCTTATCAAAACCTATACTATACTTTTATTTTTACAAACATTAAAAGTTTCATCCCATTTCTCAAGGCAAATTTAATAATAATCATCGCAATTGTTTGTTACAAGTTATTCCCCGAATATTTTACTATTCTATATTTCGATAAAATACAAACAATTTAAAGAGAGCCCCAGAATACGAATTTGACCAGATTGTTTTATATGTACTTCGAATAATTTTACTTTTAATCATAATTGTTTAATGCTTATTTTTGAATCAAAATTTTGCACTATTCTCACTTAACTTATATAGAATACAGCAGGAGTGCTTTCTAATATGAACAAAATTGAAGCTTTATTCTTTAATAGTCAAGATGCTATTAATTCCTTAATATTAAAAATTTGATTTCAGATGGAACGCTAAATATATGATAGTTTGGCTCAATTTGACAAAAATTCGTGTAAAATCAGCAAAGAAATGAAAATAACGAATACAATTCTCACGAGCTGTCTGAGCAACATTTGAAATTATTCATTGAAAGTATATAATCAAATCACAGAAAAAATGCAACGACTACAAATCGTATCAATGGATGTCAGAGCTTTAGTTGTTTGGTTTCTTTGTTTATGCTTTTTTTTACTGGTTTTTTATGGATAAAACAATAGGAATAAAATAAGAGTAATACATCTGATTGGGATTATCAAAAGTACTATATATTTTAACAGCCATTTCGATATAAGAGAATACGAAATTAGAATCTGTGCATAAAAAAAATTCAAGAAAATCTAAACATTTATGTAGAATATTAAAATATGTTATCCTCTCTGAAAAAGGTTTTGATATGGTAAGTTTAAATTGTTGATGTTTGAAAAATTTGATTTCGAATAAATTGTTATAAAAAATCCCTATGATCTCAGAACATATTAAGAAAGACGAAAGTTCAACAAGGATTGCTATCTCAAAACATGTTGAGGTATTATTTTACATCTCGTACAATGTCGCTAGAATATTTTTTATGATAAATTTGAAAATAAACCTTAATTCAAGGAATTTTAGATACATATTGATATATGTATGGTTGTTATCGAAGTAAACAAAAAATTTTTCTTGTTTTCAAATCAAATGTAATTTCATTTATTACTTAATTTCATATATAAGAAGATCAATTAATGCGTATATTATTAGAAAATATCAAAAAATACGATATTTGGTTGGAGTAAATTTTTCCAGGATGTTCCATAAAATTAGAAATGCTAGTAACAGATTATGGTTATATGGGCAACATATAACATAAATACCGTAGGTTGAATAGCCCGAGACCAATTTCAAAGGTCGTGTACCAATAAAAAATTTTGAATCAATTTAGTTAGTTAGTATACAAGTCATGGGTACGGCGGCACTGCGTTCCACCTTACCCAATATTTGTGAATTTGACACTTTACAAAGCCGCCAACCACTTCACTAACGAACTCACTAATGTAAAAAATAAACGTTCTCACTATCGTTCTCACTAACGACTTCACTAATGTTCTCATAAATTTTCCTCAATATCTTCATCATCAGTGTTAACCCTATTGTAGTCATACTTGAAGCCATAAACTTTCTCTAACTTCTTAACGTACAATTTACATAACTTACCTTCGTCATCGTATGGTTTAATGATATAACTATTTCTATCTTTATACACAGTCAATGAAAAGTCAACTGGTCTCGGATGTATTTGAAAGAACATGTTATGCTCAGGAAGGAAGAATAAATGTTTAAATGTATGTTTGTTATACTGTGGAATTCGAATGAGTTGCTTTTGTTCTGTCATTTACATCCAAATAAAAATTTTCAGTAAAATAAAAAATAAACTTAAAAATTAATGATATCACCACCCTCACACGTATGAAAACATAGCACAAAAATAAATTTAGGTGAAGTGGTGAGATCTCACCTCTTTTTTCACCCTGTTGAATTCATTGCTTTATAACTCTCTTCCTTTCTCCAACTCTTCTAACTTCTTCTTAAGTTCAGCAATGTTGTCCTCATGAAGTTTAATCTTCCTTAATATACCTTCTCTATCTAATGGTTGCTTTATCTTTCTAAACTGAACTCTACCATCCTTCATAGTATGAAT